TAATTTAACCGTTGTTAAACAAAACCGCGTCCGAAATAGTCCTAAATTTAGCTGAACCTTTTATCTGAAGTTCTTGTGAAGAGTGTCAAGAGGGCCGAAAGCTAATAGCAGAATGAAATTTATTTTATTACATGAACCTTCTCATAGAGAAGCCCTGAGGTCGACCAGTTGCGTAAAACCGTGTTTGGGTTAGAACTCGTATAAACAAGCGGCCCTTAGACTTTTGACAGTAGTAATCAATTTAGCCTACGCATAAACTAGATTTCAAGAGCAAGCGCTTCAAATATTGCGTTCTGCTTCACTCGGAATTGTGTATGGAGTAATCACGATCCAACTTGAATTTTACCCTTGCATTCCTGGGTAAAAATAAACTGAAAATGAAAAGGAGCGTAGCATGTCTTCCTCCCCTTTTTGTGATGAGGTTATTACCTATTAGCACTTTAGTTAGTAAGACGGAATGTCTTTTTGCGTCATTGTACAACAATGGAAGAAAGAAGTAGCGAATTTCAATATTGGTGGCTCCGTTACGAAATGCTTTCGATTGTGTTTCGCAAACAAATTCAAAGTTGTCGTGGAAAGGAAAAGTACAAGGGTAGAACTTCTTAATTGATCTTCTTAAGAGTTCCTGTTTGAACTCGACAGAATGCGTCAAAATGCCGCTTTCAAGTTATAGATATTAAATTATACGGATTTGGACTGAGCACTTTGTGATCGTTACAAAGAAGTTTTATTACGACCCCAGTGAACATTCTGTGTTTATCACAATACAATAGCTCTACCCAACACTAGGTGTGGAGAACAATTGTATATCACTATAAAAACTCCGAGGAGGTCTTCTTGAATGGCCCAAAGGCTCGTCTCTCAGGCCTGGCCAGTTTAGGGAGATCTTTACAGTAAAGATAAAGGTTCTGCGACTTTTCGAAACTGATTATAGATTTAGAAGAAACGTGTTCGAAAAGTCTGTTTAAGTTCCGTAGCTTGCTAATAAACAATGCCCGTCAAAGGATAAATGCAAACGAATGAGCTAATCTGTCATGTTTTTTATCCGTGACAAGTCAAAAACCTCTTCAAATGCTAGTGTCACGGTTAGGGAAAGTTAATGAACAACCTTTTTGATGAGAATTTCTATCGCGATTAACAAAATTGTTTCGGGTACAGGACACTGAACGGATTTCGTTCAGGGATTTAACTGTACCAGCTCCCCTATTTAAACAAGACAGATTTCTCTTATGTGATTTAGTACACGCACGGCAAACAATTTAAGTGAGTTATCATTTTCTGATAAAAATTCCAACATGGACAATGAATCAGCAAAATTGACAGAATTACATGGTTTTCGCTGATGTTGAGTAGTCCTAAACGATGCAGCTGGTATTTGTACTACCAAAGACCAAAATGGCAATGATTATTATTACGTGCTGGTCATCTCGTAACATTTATTGGCTAAAATGCATTGGAATATTGAACCCACATGTCAAATTGGGTTTCTTGGCTATCGCATGGAAAAAAATTGTTACGAATCAATATTGACCTGCGACCTGCGTATATTAGATTTATTAACTTTTGTATCTATCGGGACAAATGGCAGCTGTACTGGTTGCTACGCTAAGCGAATCAGTTTCCCAAGAAACAATATGTTTGAGATTTTTTTTTTTCAATAGCTAGACGCACTGAGCAATATTTTAAGGCCATTGGTTTTCAGCTCTCACACTTAAACATGCTTTCTTGTAGTTCAAATTAAAAAAATATTGACCTTCCATACCGAACCTTTAGTTACATGGTGCGCTATCTTAAACTTTGCCCCTGAGCTATTCCTTATGAAACATAGCTGCCAAGTATCAACTTTCTTGCATTGCTATCAGTTTTTCGTTTTTTATGTACCAAAAACAAAAAAAGACATTTTATTCCGGTATAATACGGAAGAACAAGAGTTAATCGGAAAAATTCTCAACTAGGGACTGGCCTTCCCTGGCGACGAGTGTAACAAACCTGTGTGAATTTTACTGAAGAGAATAAAATGAAACATCTCGTAGAACATATTAATTCGCTTGTGGCTTATACTCACCCCACTCCATTTACCGAACTCAAAACGGGTTAACCATTGCCAGGAAGAGGGTACATTTTTGTCCTTATGTAAGAGAACAGCTGAAATTGCGATTAAAAAATAAACCAATTAGAACAAAATACCTTCTTTTGTTTAACTTTACACTGATCAGAACTAGAGAAAAGGAATAGTTACGTTGAAGCAAAGATGAATATTTCTCGCACATACCTCTCTCTGCCGCGGTGGCCTGAAAATGTGCCGAGCATACGGAAACAAGAAACACCACTTTCAAAAGTTGTTTCGACTCCTTTGATTTCATATCGGCGATTTCAGCACCTCACAGCTAACACTTTTCGCGACTTACATTCACGAACGATCGTGACCAAAATTTCCTTAGTTACTGTTATTTGTAGAATATAACCAATTTTATGCAGCTCGAGTATGCGATCTCTCAATACGTAAAGAGAAGAGGAACACTAACAATCCCGTCTGCAGCTGAGGTAGTCACTATTAGACATAAAGATCTTGTGCTTAACTCCGTACTTTTGTGTGTGCGGATTATGCAAATTAAAAAACCAATACGGAATGTAATAGAAAACGTCAAATGGTGAATTGTTTGGAATGATCGATGACGCTAACGTGTAAGTGAGATGTGGACAAGGTATCAAAGCAACGATGGATTGAAATAAACCCTGAAATGATTCTTTTATTATTTTACGTTCAGAACACTCTCTTAAAATCAAGACTGACCAGAACCAAAGCAATCGGTAAGTTTTCGGACATGTTTGCGCTTAAACGGATTAACCTAAAGGTAATCATTACACCATTATGGTACAAATTTCCCAAGAGGTTTAACCGCACAGAACTGGCCGAGCGCTAAAATAGTAGAGTCTGTGCATTAAGCGTGGCACGATTTTCGGTACAATGAAGCCCACAGACATACATGGGAGGGATGATTTAGGTATAGACTGAACACTAAAGCTATCAAATCACGGCACTTCTGTAGAAAAGTGTCCCGGATTATGTTGCTCAAACTACCGGAACGACTTTGTTTCTTTTGGATGAGATGCCTTAAATCCATATCAGAATATTCCTACGGTTATTCGTTGGTTTTCTATAACATCTCATAGTCATTCCCCGCCCATTTATCAGTTTCCTTGGTGAAGAGAAACTCTATGAGAGTCAAGTGTTTCACGCACTCCACTGACACGCATTTGCTCGGTCAAACATCTGTAGCTGAATGCGCATTTTTCGACCTGGAGTGGGAATGTTACCAAATCATGAAGCCATTGCTTTTCCCACTTCTTCACTTCTTAGGCGGGGTACGAAAAGATGCGTTTATAAAATGAACTTTGAGCGTAAACCTAGTCTTTAGACTAGTCATTTGATCATAACAATTTTTAGTGAAATACTACATGATCTCAATTATCTGTAGATGAAACGTTCGCTCGGTTTAAGGCCATCAAAAATGTATTAAATAGTCGATTGCCAGATCAGATAAATTGTAGCTAAATTTATCAAATCATCATGTTTGCCTGTCAATAACTAAAGCAAGCGGAACTTAAACTCCTTCTAAATGTTAGAGTTAAAGCTTGCTCAGTAAAGTTATTAGACCCAAAACTTGCAGTGACGTTTACATTAAATGAGACGGTATCAAGTGAACCAAGGATTCTTAAAGCCATAGCTACTGAGTTACACAAGTTCTGGTTATACTAAGTATGTAAGATCTTGATCAGCCGGGATGCCGCTTGTTTTCAAAAGTGCCGCTCCAGTTCACTCGTTCAATTTTAAAGGAATACAATTATAGTTTGACTGTTTCACTTTTGTTAGCATTACTGTGTGTAAATGTTTTTACTGTAATGTGTTATAACCAGTTATTGTTTTGGGAATCAAAATTAAGTCATTTTCAACCCAATAGGGATTAGTAATAAACATTAAGGCTTTCTTTTTTTACATCAACAAAGTGAAGTGCAGCTTTTTTTAACATTTCGCTTATAATCGATCAAATTTGAATCACGAAGGAGTTCAAAAAGCCTACGCAGAAGTTTTTTACGACAGGACCTGATCAGCTATGACGGGTCTATCCTGAGAAACGGGCTAAAAAGGTGAGATAAATTACAAAATAATCGGTGAATTTTAACTGCCAAGGAAGAAAACGAATTCATCTGTGCGTTATTAAATCGCCGAGATAATCAAGCTCATCCCAGTATAGAGGCTCCGTTTGAAATATGCCTTTCTATGAAGACATCTTGACTCCTTCGCTCAGAGGATCATGTCTGCTCACGATTTTAGACGTTGAGGCGTTCTTCGTCGGTTATCATAGAAAGGCTGTCATTTGGTTAGATCGCTAAAACTGGTAAATCATTTTTTACTCATTTAAAACCGTTAATTCCAGCTGAATCCAATCGAACCAGCTCAGGCGAAAATAGAGAGAATTTCGTACCCAACCTAGTGGCAGTTTTTGCCAGAACATACAAATACTGAGGAGATCAATGATCATCCAAGTTCTTAATTAAGCTAAAGTTGTTAACCAGTCAATCTTATATATAGAACTCCAGTCAAAAAGTCAGCTGAAGAAAAAAGACCTTTTTTTTATTTACCGCATTAATTTATTTCATCCCGACCCTAAGTCAGGAGATTTGGAGAGAATTATTCTTCCAAAGAAACGAGAGACCACCGACAGTATACTTTCAGCGCTCTAGGTCAGTTCCGTCGTCAATATTAGCGCGCACTCTCGCTGTCAACCATGTTGGAAAGGAACTAGAATACCGGTTGTACTGTGAGAGGGAAAACCAAGTGAAACTGAAACTTTGTTTCCTTTCTGTGGAGACTCGATCAGCGAGGTGAAATATAAGATGATGACCCTCAGTAAAGAATGACCTAGTGAACCATACTACAAGTATATTTTTGTGATGGCGTGTTGAAACGGGGAAATGGATGTTCTAATAATCTGATAATGCGCAACCCTATTGAATTCCTGAACACCGCCACTTTGTCGACTGGCCTGGTATGTCTGCCTCTGCCGGTGCAGCCCCTGAATCCCATTTGTTAGACTGTGTTACGATGTTAGGCTTGAGTCGCACTTGGGAAAAGCAGGTTCAACTGTTTAGTGAAAAAAAAAAAAAAAACCATAGAAATGCGAAAGGAAAACTTTTTGTCAAACTAGTAGAGTCGCAATAGTGATAGGTAGCTATCACTGTTTTAACACATTGGTGATAACTCAGTCTAGTAGGCAAGAAACTAGAGTGCATGTTTACCGGTCGGAAGAAAAGAGATCGCGATCATGTGTCCTGTTACAGAGAATTTCCATAATTTGAAACTGAACAACCATCAAATTGTGAGAGATGCTACAAACTGATGACTATCCATATTGAAAGCTCGAAGATCTAAGAGGTTCCCGCGTGCTTTTCAAATTGATCGTGTTTCAATTCGAAAAGGTTCACTGACAAGCGTTGACAGTATCCGCCGTGATTTTGTTTCTAGCTTAACTCGATTTTTTCCAAAATCTGCCTGCTCCACCCAGTCATTACCATGCTTTTGATGGTTTCACCAACTGGAAAATTTGTTTTCAATTGGAAGTTAGATTGAACTACAAAATAAAAACACTTTGGGAAACTTCTCCCTAGTGCGTCAAGTGAGACTGCTACGTGTGCCATTTTTCTTAAAGTTATTACTAACATTTTCTTCCACAGACCATAATCTTCTCTGCATCATACAATATCTGCTCTTCGGAATAGACACACAAACAAAGTTACTAGAGGTGGGCATAATCTAACAGATTTCGGTCTAGGTTAGACGAAATTAAAGGACTTTAAAAACAGCTTGCGCTTACTAATCACATTTGCGTGCCTCTTTGTGGCACTGATTAAGGTGATATTGCCCATGGATTCGTTTTTATAAGCATTTGCTAAGATAACATATCTTTGAGTGATTTTAATATCTATTCTTGGTGACAAGAACTTTGAGCGTTTCATTTAACCCATGGGAATATAAGCTTGGCGAATACTCGTATACCAAACAGAAAGCTAAATTTAAGATACTAGGGATAAGATGGGGGTGTCCTCGCACTTGACCCGTCTGTTTCATTTTAACTTGATATATCTTATTTAGATTTATTTAGATTATCTGTGTAGCAAAATATTAAAATCCTCTTCAAATAACAACTTAGAGCCCATGTAAAATCTCGACAACGATGAAATGTCATCTTTGCTACCAAGAAGAACAAAGCATGTAATAAGCCCTTGATCATTCGTAAAAGTGAGCCAGGGATCGAAGGTAAAATTCATATCCAGGGCGTGGTCATGCAATATTCCATACATAAAACGAGGTTTGATTGCGCGAGCGTTAATATGCTACTTAATTTTTATTTCATGTTACGAGAATGAGTCGTGTAGGTGATAATTGATTAATTCACCTTTTCGGAGTGGGAATTCATGGGTAGTGTCAAGTGAATCGTGATGTAAACACAACTTCGGACATTCGATCCTGAGTATACTGACACGATGGTCAGGACAAAGACAAAGAGATGCGCCTGTGGTACCTGCTAAAACGATTCCCATAACCCCATGTCCTGAGTAACAAACGCAAACGGCGATCTGATCAACTTTTTCCAATTTCCTTTTTTAAAATGATAAACTGAGCAGTGACCAGCACTGCACGAAATGAAATTGGAAAAACTTGTTTCATTCTGCTGCGCATATTGTTTGACAATAGCAGACTTCGTCGGGGAGTTTTTACAGCCAGGGAATTAAGCTTGCTTACATGCACATAGCAAATTCAATCTTTATGTATAGTGGGAATTATCCAGCATAACAGGCGTATCTTTTTTCGTCTAACAGGTGAACGGAGACAAGCGCAAGGCGAACACGAGGCACGCGCGAGGGGAGGAGCGCGAAAAAATTGCTATTGCGCTCCTCCCCTCACGCGCGACTCGCACTTAGCACTCGCCTCGCTCTCGCCTCCTTTTGACTGAAAAACACAAAAACAATTACGCCTGTTCTACAAGTCAAATGTAAAGCAAGCGGAAAGTATCCGCAAGATGTGACAAGGTTGTTGTGCATGCATGATGACATTTTTGGACTTTAATGGATAGGTATGTTATGTGTTTGGGGTCACAAATTTAGTCGGTAAGGCTTTGTTATTAGAAAACTTATCATCTCGAATTCAGCTAGATTGGTTTTCATAACAGCGATTAAAATTGTGTGTAAAAGCAACTTTCGGCTTGCTTTAATTGCTATATGTTCCCTAATCTCAAGTTTTGTTTCATAAGGAATATCAAGGACATCATTACACTAGCTGTGGATATTCGCGTATCACATCTGAGGCACCCCGTTCAAAAATATGGTGATTAATCGATTGTTGTTTGGTACGACACTTCTACTTTCGTTGATTCAAGCAATCTTGGTCGTTCGTCTGGTCTCCTCTGAGACGGGTGAGTCGATGCGATCGTATTTAAAAAAAGAAAAGATTGTATGGTTTGGTCCTTTTTTTCCTTATGTTCTCCAAAACGGACCTCATAAAGTCGAACACTCCTTAGTGGAAACAATATCCACTGGGAGGGACATTGGGGTGTTCTGAACTGTACAATACCGCAAAAAAAAAAAAAAGAAAAGAAAAACTCGGCAAATACTACAGTTTAATACCGAGTCGATACTCAATGTCATGTCGAAAATACTACCCTGTACGTTAAGTCTTGAGCAAATAACAAGGAAACAGTAATTCATCATTTTTTAATGAATCTTTGATTTAGACAAAATAATCAAAATGAGTAACATCCATTGGCGTGTTGGCTAATAATTAACGAAAAAAAAAAAAACACGAGCGGATTAGAAAAACTTAAAGCTGTTTGAGGTCCTGTTTCTTCCTGTTTCCGAAGCAATCGGAAACTGGAAAAGGCACGGAAGACGCTGGGGGACCTGGAGGATAA